ACGTTGACACAAATGACACCCTTGAATGACGTGGCGGACTATCATTTGCTGCCTGCCCTCCCGTCCTCCACGTAGGACGTTAACGGCGAATGGGGGAAGTGAGAGTCCCCGCCCGCCGTCAGAACCGATGAACAGAGCCCTGCTATAAAAACCTATTTCACCACTATCGCACTCTCTTTCCATCAGAGTCCAACGACAGCTTCCTCCCTCTCTTTGTATCTATCTCGTGCGCCGGCCATGGCGAAACCTAATTCGCTCTGCCTGATCCTCCTGCTCTCCTCTCTCGCCCTCGCCTCCGCCACCGTTTTCTTCGAAGAAAAATTCGAAGGTATCATCGTGGTCCCCTCCCTCTCGAGATCTCCATTTGCTTGATGCGTTTGATTCCCTCGGCGTTTCGATCATTTATCGGCCTGTTAGTGTAGCCTCGGTTTTGGTTGATCGAGTTGTCTCCTTATGTAACATTCAATGTAGTTCCCCTGAGGATCAGGCTTAGTAATCGTCGTTTTCAGTGTATGACACCATTGGCGGCGAATGTTGGAATTGTTTGGATCTGATCCTTACTGCTTGAATTTGGATTGATAGCGAGTGATGAACTCGGAATGCACCGGTGTTTGTTTAGATCTGTGAATGGATGGTTGGATTATTGAGCTAGTCGTACTTCTGGTCTTGTAGTAGTGCACACTTGCGGTAGCTGATTGTTTGGCCGTGCGATTTAGCTGTGAGCTATTGAGTGACTGTGAACTGATGATCAACGTATGTGTTTGGTTTCTCTGATAGTTTCTGATAGCTATGGAGTTGGTTTCCGTTTGTAAAGTATGGTTATCCCAGTAATTTGAGGAGGTCTAATTTTTATATCTTTGATGGTTTAACGCTAGGCTTTCATTTTCAGATATGTAGCTTTAGCATTTGTTCATTTCTGATTCTGGTCGTCGTTTTTTTTTTTTTTTAACTTTGGACTGAAGATGGTTGGGAAAAGAAATGGGTTAAATCCGACTGGAAGAAAGATGAGAACATGGCTGGAGAGTGGAACTACACCGCCGGAAAGTGGAATGGCGGCGCTGATGACAAAGGTGAAAATTCTTTTCTGATCAATTAGGTTTCCTAATTGTGTGTGTACATTGAGGTTGAACTAGTGGAAGGTATATGGTTCATATTGTAGCTTGCTTGCTGATAATTTGCGGCAAAATTCCAATGCAGGTATCCAGACAAGCGAAGACTACAGGTTCTATGCTATTTCAGCAGAGTATCCTGAATTTAGCAACAAGGACAAAACCCTAGTCTTTCAATTCTCTGTCAAGCACGAACAAAAGCTTGATTGTGGAGGTGGGTACATGAAGCTGATGAGCGGTGATATCGACCAAACCAAATTCGGTGGTGACACTCCATACAGGTTACCCATTTATCCCCAATCTCACTATGCTATTGGTTTAGACTTAAATTGTCATTTGATTTCTGATGTGAGGGTTTTCTCTTTGCTTGCAGTATTATGTTTGGACCTGATATCTGTGGTTACAGTACCAAGAAAGTCCATGCTATTCTGACTTACAATGGAACAAACCACTTGATCAAGAAGGAAGTCCCCTGTGAGACTGACCAGCTCTCCCATGTTTACACATTCATCATTCGCCCTGATGCTACTTACAGCATTCTGATTGACAATGTGGAGAAGCAAACTGGCAGCTTGTACTCTGACTGGAGCCTTCTCCCTCCCAAGAAAATCAAGGATCCTGAAGCCAAGAAGCCTGAGGATTGGGATGAGAAGGAGTACATTCCTGACCCTGAGGACAAGAAGCCAGAGGTAAACTATAAGCGTCGCCACTGTTAATCTTTCTTTCATGTAGATTTTGTAGAAACCTGTTAGAGATGATGTTGATCTGTTCATATAGGGATATGATGACATCCCTAAGGAGATTCCCGATACCGAAGCCACCAAGGTAATTGATAACTAGCAAGCCTTTCTATTTTTAATTCTTTTGTCATGCTATTATCGTTGTATCTTATTATATCTTGCCTTTCCAACTGTAGCCCGAAGATTGGGATGATGAGGAAGATGGTGAGTGGACTGCCCCAACTATTCCCAACCCAGAGTACAAGGGTCCATGGAAGGCAAAGGTTTGTGAATCTACTATTAAAAACAAAGTAGCTTGATCTTTAATACACTCTGGCCTGTAGTTCTGATTTGTTGTATCCACACTTGTACAGAAAATCAAGAACCCCAACTACAAGGGCAAGTGGAAGGCTCCAATGATTGACAACCCAGGTTCAGCCTAGTTCTTATTAGCTGTTCTTTGCTGTTCATTGTTGCCTGATAGCTTATCAGTGATAATTAATCAATTTGTGTATTTTTTGGCAGATTTCAAGGATGATCCAGAGATCTATGTTTTCCCCAACTTGAAGTATGTGGGCATTGAGTTGTGGCAGGTGAAATCTGGAACCTTGTTTGACAATGTCTTGATCTGCGACGATCCCGAGTATGCCAAGAAGTTCGCTGAAGAAACATGGGCCAAGAACAAAGATGTAAGTATAGCATACCGTCTTCTCCCACCATCTTTAAAAGTCCGCGATTTTCACAGAGAACTCCTTGCCTGATCGATTGACACGAGTCTCTGTTGGTTTTGTTTGATGATAGGCTGAAAAGGCAGCATTTGAAGAAGCCGAAAAGAAGGCAGAGGAGGAATCATCCAAGGACGACCCTGCTGATTCTGATGTAAGCTTTTTCAATACTATCCACTATTCCCTCCCTCTCTCCCACCCTCCCTCTTTTTCTGTATCATCCTCTTTGTGTGGTTTAACATGCTGTATTTTGTTATCTGATGTGAATCACAGGCTGAGGATGATGATGACACTGAAGATGCCGACACAGAAGACGACTCTGACCTTAAAGCCGAGGGTGCTGAAGACTTCAAGGACGAAGAAGAACTACATGTACGTTTTTAACTCGGGCCGTAGTACTAACTCAAGATAGCTTCAGCAGTTTCTTTCTTTCCAGTCTGCCTGATAATTATGATTCTTTTTTGGGCTTTGCAGGATGAGCTTTAGGAAGGACAGATGAAGAGGAGAAGAAAGCAAAGCAGAGCAACTCAATGCCAGTAGAGACATTGTTCAGCGTTTTTTGTTTTTTGGTTGTTATAGTTGTAGAAGCTGATGGATTCTTAACTAGAAGAGGGAGGAAACATTTCGAGAAATAGAACTGGCGACAGCGTTGGAATGATTCCTTTGAAACGTTTAGTGTTACATTCTTGACTGTCTCTCTCGGAGCTATCATTTAGAAGAAAACCTAAAGAGGACTTGTTGCTGCCTGTTATTTTCTTTGTTTACGTTCCTCGAGGCAGACGAGCAACTCCCAATTCCCAACCTACTTGCATTACGTAGTGCTTCAATCCTAGTCTCTTAAGGATTACCTTCGATACTTGCCGAACAAAGCAACCTTAAACGACAAACACGGTATCAATCAGGGGTGGAGCCCGGATTTAAGTTTCGGAGGGGTCGGAGTTGTTGTGTCATAACTCATAATAGCAAATATGAAAAAATTAATATGAGGAAATTAATTTATTTTTGTTATTACAAAGGCATAAAAAGTTTATGATGTGTTATGTTTAATAAATGAGTAACCTACAAAAATAAATCATGCATTTCAATGCGTAATATGTAAAGACGATGGAACTCACTAAAATCTATAAATGAACACCATCAATAGAGAATCGAACCTGGATCTGCTGGGATAAAATGGGAACATTGCTCGCTGAGCTACCTTCGGATTTTGTAATATACTATTGCTCACGATAGTATTTCATATAAAACTTTACTTTATACGTAATTTTCCTAAATCGTAAAAAAAATTGTACGTAATTTCAAAATTCTCGGGGGCAGCCCCCTCCCCCCCCCCCCCCCCCCCCCCCCCGGGCACACATAGCTCCTCCCCTGGTATCAATTGTACGTCGAGTTCAAGAAGTAAACTCACGACAGAAAACCTTTTTCAATATAGTTCAGTACGAAATCGAACCAAAACAATGAACAAATTGGATTTAAAATATGTGTAGAACTTGGCAAAAAACCACAAAAATCAATTCTCTATTTGAATTGTGATTAGCCCATATCCTTTGTTTAAGGGTGAAATCAATATGGAAAAGGGCTTTGCAGTTGAAATCAAAATCACTTATCCTAGTGAAATCAAAATCACTTATCCTAATAGTCAAAATTCAACGTCAAGTAAATGTGCTATGAAGCTTGCCCAGTTGCCCCTATCCACAATCAAAGTTTTAAGCCAAATTCAAGTACTTGAGCGATCGTAGTTACTAACATCGCTAATCATCGTCTATAGACTCTAAGACCATCCACAATGTGGGTGGGGGAAATGTGGAAAAAGAGGGAAAAGTGGGAAAATTGGTTGGTTTGGTCACAGTGTGGTGGTGGGAAAAGTGGGTAATCAGTTTAGTACTTTTTTGTTAAAATCAATCTATAGTTGATTTTGTCACTTTATTTTCTTATAATATTCATTATTATTATGTACTTAGTGACAATTAATTAATACGAACATTTCGATATAATTTTTTTTTAATTTGGAAATATTTTTTTCCATCACTAATTAAGTATGACATCAGCAATGACAAAATCATAATAATACGAGATGACCATTGGGGACAAAAACACAACTTTCCAAACAAGCTTTTGCTAAAATCAGGAAAAAAAAATAAAAATAAAAAAGAAAGGGCTGTCATTTCCCATCTGCCACTTCCCCCACCATTTGTCTCAGGTGAGTTTCCCCCACTAAACCCACAAAACCCATTTAATTCCCTATTCCCCCACATTGTGGTCACATTTCTCCTTTTTCCCACAAAACCAACCCACCCTGTGGGTGGTCTAAGGAGATCTCAATCCAACTTCCCTCCCCCACTGCTTCAATCGTATATAGATTTATTTATGGATGCGGCTAAAAAAAATCTGCTATTTGTCTTTGGTACAACCACAGTACAGCGACGGTAGGAAAAAGCAACTACTTATCAATCCCGCCTAGTATGACTCATTACATTAATCTTTCGTACAACATCCAACAGCTCATTCTCTTTTAATGGCTTGGTCAAATGGAAGTCCATCCCAGCTTCCAGACTCTTGTTCACTTCCTCTGTCGAGGAATGTCCTGATATCGCCACAATCGGAATCCTGCCTGCTTTCCCCGTTCTCTCCTCCTCCGCCCTTATCCATCTCGTTGCCTCGTACCCATTCATCTCAGGCATCTACGCATTGAAACACAAGAGAGAGATAGTGAGTTAGGTTAGCACTTCTTTAGTGTCCACGAACTGAAAGGAAGGCAAAACTGAAACATTTGTTTTTACTTGCCTCACAATCCATCAAAATGCAGTAGTACGGCACCCAATCCTGAAGACCATTTTCTTCCCTGCTTTGCTCTCTCAATGCACTTGAAACTTTGTCAATAGCCTCTTTCCCGTTGGTGCAGTCTTCAACGCTACTTGCTCCCAACTTCCTCATCATTCGACCATGCAGTGTCTTCAAACAAGAAACATCATCCACAATCAAAACCTTCTTCCCTTTCAAGGGTTGCTTGTTGATCTCTTCATGATCACCAACGTCACTGCTGTTGACCAGAACGGCCTCCTGACGGACGGTCGACATCGACTCGGAAATCGTGCAGTTGGCAGGGTCTCCCAGCTCGATTGTCCAGCAACAGTTTGAGTTATTGGAAGAAATTCGTTGGTACTGTACCGTCGTTGGAGGAGCCAACATGGCAGCATTGCCATGAGGGATGATGGGCGACAATATGCCCTTATTCCTTCCCGGAAGTAGCGACAAAACCTCGTTGACTCGAGACCCGTGAAATGGCTTGTACACCACGTAATCCCCACCGGAGGTTAGGGTTTCCTGCAGCAGTCGACTCTGCTCGCCTCCATCGTGCACCATGAACCGGTCGTGAACCCAAACGATCTTCCACAGGACATTGTTGCCGCCCTCTCTCTTCAACTCGAGCAGGCGGCCGTGCAGGTCGTGATGGTAGTTGACATCAATCACGAGCAGGACGAATCTGGACCACCAAGTACCCTTGGTCATCGTCCTAAGGTTGTTCCTTCTTCCCGAATCCGAACTGTTGGAGACGGAGCGACTTAGACGTTGATCGACGGTTGTTGCAGCAGGAGAAGAAATCTCGAGCTTCGTCCTTATCTTCTCGAGCTCCTGGCACAGGCTGCTCGGATGAGTGAGGATGACCACCTTGATGTTCGTGTTTTCGATGTACCTCTTCAACACTTTCCTCCTCTCCTCCCCTTCTACCAAGATCATCACTTGAGAATCTTCACGCCTTGGCGACGCGAGTGCAAACGAAGAAGGACGCATCGTGATAGAAGGACTCTGTTGTTGTTGTTGTTGATGGCCTTCTGTCGTAAGGGTGGATGTGCAGAGGAAGACATTGAATCTGAAACAAGTCCCTTTCTCCCCTTCCTTCTTCTCTACAATTTGCAATTCTCCTTTCATTAATCTCACCTGCAAAAAAAAAAAAAAAAGACATTGTTACACGTTCTCATCAATGTTGTATGATACCCAAAAGAAGAAAGGATCACATTACTTACCAAAGATTGGACGTTGCCAAGCCCCAATCCGAACCCACCAGAATGAGAAGCAGAGTTGTTATTGGTAGCCTGAACGTAGTCCTCAAACACAGACTTCCATTCAGTCTTGGGGATCCCTTTCCCGGTATCGTCCACCTCGAACTCGAACTCCACCTCGTTCGGATCCTCTGCCTCCGCCATCTGCAGGGTATCGAGCTCGCTCTCGCCGTTCACGCCGCACCTGTCCCAGCAGCAGGAGCTCAGCAGCGACCCGAACGCGAACGTCCTGTTGGAGGCGATGATGTCCTTCCTCAGGTTCCTCCTCTTCACCGAGGCGCGGACCTTCACGTGGCCCTCCGAGGTGAACTTGATGGCGTTGCTCAACAAGTTGGACAGTATCTGCCTCACCCTGGTCTGGTCGCCGTGCACGTGAGGTGACTTGTGGATGAAGGCATCCGAGGGGTCGAACACGACGTCGACCCCTTTCTTGATCCCCAAGTGGTAGAACCTGTCGACGAGCTCCTCCACGAGGTTGCCCAAGTTGAAGTCCTCGTTTCTCAGTTCCAGCTTCCCCGCTTCCAGCTTGTTGATGTCCAGAACCGACTCCAGCATTCCTAATGGAAATAGAAATGACTCTGTTCAACAATGCCAATGACTGACGCAAATTACATAGATTGAGAAGGTATATATAGAACTGACCAACAGCGTCGCGAGCGCAATTCTCGACCTTTTGGAGATCCCCTGCAACCTTACTAGCATCCGGATTGGTGGTGTCTTCTTGACAGAATTGGACTAATGCAACGAGCTGAGCCAGAGAGTTGCGGACATCGTGGCTGATCCCTGCGAAAATCCTCGTCTTGTTCATGCTCTTGCGCTCGGCTTGCCGTGTGGCCTCTGTTTGCTTGATCAATGAAGCGCAGAGGTATAGCTCCCTCTTCGTTGCTCTGGTTGCCATCCACAGGAACAGAGCAAGTGACAGAACCACCATGCTGAATAGAACGCCGACTAGAATGATGGAAGCCTTGGTGATTCTTACTACCAGGCTCATCAATCCACTTCCAGGATATGCCAGCACGTAAACCTACAGAAACAAGGAAACCAAAAACAAAAAAACAAAATTAAGAAGAGGGTTATTACTTATTATGACCGCCAACTTTTTTAGCGACGAGTTTATAAATGATGAAAACTAGTGTTGGTACATCAGGCTGAGAGAATGATGTGCAAATTAAAGATCAAACAACCAATATTCAGTACAAATCGGATTATGAATGTAAGATTATAGTTCGTAACAGTCTGGATCAAGCATACTACAACGATGAACATAAAATGAACAATTTATTTAATCCACAATGAAAAATTCGAACCAATAATCTAATTTTTTTTCCCGGTAATTAATCTAAATTATTTTTGCCATACAACATGAATTCCAACATCAACATGTATGAGTGAATGACAAAGAAACACAACACTAATAAAATTTCATATAAAAATGTAACTATCAGAACCAAACTATACGTTTCAATTTGACCCATAAATTTTCGAACGGTTTAGTCTATTATAACCACTAGTGAAAACATTAAAACAATCAAATAGATACAACGAGTTTTTTGATTTACCATATTGACGCCGCCAATGATCAGAGTGGAGCAGTAAAACGACCCTTCGATCCCCGCAACCGTCCCCGCCGGCGACCTAGCAACCGTCCCGGCGGTGTCGCAGCTCAAGTTCCCAATTTCCCCATTCACCCCATTCCTCACCGTCAACACCCCGTTGCTAAACCGCTCGATCACCACCGCAGCCTCCGCCGCCGGCTGGACGACCACCTCCCCTTCCTGGGTCGCCAATTGTAGATACAGACCGCGGGAATTCAGCGACGTGAAGTGGTCGACGATGGTCTCCGTCGCGAACCCGAGCGAAATGACGCCTTTCCCGTGGACCGACACGGTGCTGAGCAGCATCCCCTCGTGGTCGTCCTTCCAGCTCCGGCCCATCGACGAAACTACGCCGTCGCCGTCGAGCCCGGCGCGAAACCACTCAGTGTTCGGGGTCAGCATTGCTTTGGAGACCACCGCGACCCCGTACGGTTCGCCCGTGTCGTGGTTGACCGGTTGGGTGAACCAGGTGGGCGAGAAGGAGGCGTTCGAGTAGACCAGGAAAATTCTGTCATTGTCTTCTCTGTAGACGGAGAGGAAGAGGCCGTCGCGGCTCGCGAAGGAAGCTTGGGATAGTTTTGGTATGGCGGAAACGGCCATGAATAACGTCGGCGCCACCTGTAAAATTCAAACGAGATTGAGCATTCATGTGACTAATGTAGTCAAAATCGCTCTTTACGCTAATGTTTAAGTAGAATCACGATTTTGATTCACCACTTAAATCAACTAATTTTTGACTCGTTTTGAGAGATTATTGAATTGACCCAAATCACCTTAGTCATGATAGTGGAGAATGTGGGGAGTGAGCCATTGAAATTCGAGGCGAGCGACGTCGCTAATGTGGCCGTGGTCTCGTTCCCTGGGAGCAGAGCTTTGCCGGACTTCTCAATGGCGGCGTAGAATGTATCGCTGTAGACGTCGATCTCCGAGTCTACACGGAGCTCGGTCTCGTTGATCAGAATGCGTAGCTTCGCGAAAACAACCGTCGACACTGCCTGCATCAGAAATAATTAAAAGAACAGAGTCAGGAAGCAAAAGCAGGGGAAAACAGGGGAAGGAAAACAGAGAGTGACTTAACGAGAACGATGAGGAACGTGAGAGGGGGGATGAGTTGTTTCAGCAAGCGGAGGGGCTTCATGGCTTCCTTCTAGAGAGGAAAAACCAAGAAAGCGGAAATTCTGGGCTCTGCGATGGGGATTTTTGCTGCTCGGTGAATCGAATTGGTTTGAAAGACTGATGAAAGAAAGAGACTTTGTAGGCCGCTGAGTGAACCGAAAAAACCTGGGGAAAGGGAGAAAAAAAAGCGGGAGATGAAGCTCATTTTGTGTTTATCTTGCTAATTATTAGCGTTATTATTTATCTACCCAAAATCTGTTAATTATGTAGGTTCTTTGTAGTGGTTTAGTATTTCACAGTCATAGCCTCATAGGCACAGTAGTTTTATCAAGTGACAATTTTATTTTTTCTACTTGTGAACGATATAATTATAATTCATCTCTTGTAATAGGAAAATTTTATATTAGATTTGTTTTAGACTACACGGTTGCCGCCATTTAAATCAAAATTCAATATTTCCGGGTAATAATGATATCTATTGTTTTCCCTTCTGCTAGATTTTCAGGTACGTTTATCTAATTTTTAGAAGTGCACAGTACAAAGAATTTGAATTCAATAAAATGTTTATCTATCCCTTGTCGTCTTGTCTTGATTGGATGGGTTGAACCCTCCTTGTCTTGCCTTTTATGACGACGCCTTGATCACACCCTTGATGCCCTCAATGGCTACACACTTAGCTTTTTTGTTGCTCTTGTGCATTGGGAGCTTGATATCATACCTCATCGCCAAATCAAACCCTTAATTCATGCCCTATATTCCTTCCGACTTAGATGTCTGCCGCCTTGCCATGTCTTGGCGGTTCGATACCATGTAAGGTTTCCACAAAGCCTGGATCATTGGTTTGGTACTATGTTTCATTCCATACTTAGTTTTTGTGAGATTTGATAATTTGATACCTCATTGCCTTGCTACCAAACTTGTCTTGTCGGCTTGCTCTCCTAACTTAATTTTTGAATCTCCCTAGTTGGTACCTAGTCGTCTTGCTGGTTTAGTGCCCTGTCAAGTGGTCTTCATAAATTGTGTAATTATGCATTGTAGGGTTTTTGAAAAGAACATAGAATAGGCATCAAAGAGATTATCAATATCCTGTAGGAACATTCTATGGTCTTAATAAGACTAGGAAGAGTAAAGAATTTGCCACATGTGAAATCTCATTCTATATAGCTTGTCAAGTTGGTACCTCGTTGTCTTGTCGACTTGATACTCTACAAATCTTGCCACCAAGTTCATCTTGTCAGCTTGATCTCCATGCTAAGTTTTTAGAGACTAATCAAGTTAGTATCTGGCCGCTCTGTCGGTTTGGTACCCTGACAGTCTTGCATCAAGTTTGTATTGTCGGCTTGGTATCCAAACAACAGGATTCCATACTTAGTTTTGTAAGCCAAATTTCACCAATTGACTTGTGATTCGTCTTGGTATCCATCCTATTACTAGTGACCATTTATGCAAGCAAGATGAGACTGCCAGCCATTGAATGCATAGAGAGGGAGCTCGGCGACTTAAGCCAAAAAATCCAAATCAATAAGACCCAACTAGCTCAATTTGTATTTAATATAGAACTGACCTTACAAAGCAATTAAATCCCTTATAATTAATAGATTTGGTATAAAATTAAACTTTATGATAAACAATAATGAGTCACTATATGCCTTCTGATATTATATTGAAAATAAGAGAACTCAAATATAAAATCAAGCATCACAACTTTCTAAACTTTTAATTGAGATGGTATAATCCACTATTTTTATTAATTACAAGTAAGATCAACACAATACATACATTATTTTATAATTTCATTCTTCCTAACAATGTATTCACAACTTCCTAAATCATACATAATGAAATAATAGTAACTAGAAAATTGGTCCGCGCTCTGCTGCGGGTTCTAAAAAATAAATGGACTAATTAACAGTGGAAAGTAATAATTTTAAATCAAGGTGAATGTCTTTTATGGTCGAAAAGGAATCATGTATTAACTTGAAATGGATGCGAATAGGACCATAGTCAACTTTTTAATCTCTTTAGTCTTCATGGACTTGTATATGATTTCAGAGTAAGTAGTTTGATTTACAATTATATTGAGTTGATTAATTGAATGTATGATAAGTGAGTGTGCTATTCTCTAATTTTGTGAAGAGGCAAGAAAATAATTTTGCGATGAAGAATAAAAGAATTTTTACAACATGTGCGATGAATATTTTCATCTTACACAATAAAATTGTTATTGGACCACAATAATGGTTCAACCCTTGAGATTTAAAATAGAGTATATTTTGAAATAGTGTTATATTCAAAATGAATAGCTCGCAGTTTCACATATAGTTTCCTATGCATTATAGTACACTGAAAAAATAATGACCTCTTCCACCAAAATGAGGAATATTTGATTATGACTATGTATGGGAATACATGACCCATCCGCATCAAACATGGTAACATCATACATTGTATTCACTTTTGTGAATTTTATGTTATGCATGCTTTCTTACTAACATCCAAAAATACCAAACATAACTTAACAAAATAATTGAAATGAGTGGATCTATAAGAATGTGTTAGGTATATGATGGATTCTAACAAATCAAATGATAAAACCTCAACATTTAATGAAAATAAAAACTTAAATAACAAAAAGAGCAATGAGAATAATTTTATAACATGATTCTCGGTGATCAAGTGAAGGAGATCATGAGGCCAATAGAAGTGAACAGGTGGCATGTTTTCACTTTAAACATAAACATGTGTCAGTCATGCAAAAGAATGATCTGCATGAAACGTGTAATTGAATTGGAGAGTAATTGGGTCAATCTTGTTTAGATGAAATAAGACTAATATGCACCATTTATCAATCTTATTTAGAAGCTGCTGGGAGTGTGGAGTGGAGGGCGTATAGGTGAAAAGGAATTGAGCTCCCACATCTCACGCTTGGAGAACTGAGGAGCTGGCGAGCTTTCTAGAGATATATGTCACCTTCCTCTCCACAAAAAGCCCTCCGATTGTCCAATCATGTTGCTCATAGAGCAGAGGGGGTTACTTCCCTAGCTAAGTGTCGAGGATCATAAGGGTCTTGAAAAGAATCTATCATATGAATTGGAGTCCCAATTTGTCCAGCCACCAAGAGTCAATCCGAGAATGAAGGTTAGATGAACGATCGGTGAGGATCGACGGCTAGGCCAGAGTTATTCGCAGGGGATTTACGGTGAACTCTCCAATTAGAAGCTGGGAGGAGTAGCGACTGTAGAAAATCCGGCGAGAGGATCCAGCTTGGCCAATCGCCAGTGAATCGTCGGAGGGAAGAAGGAGGAAGAAACAGGATTGCTACGCATGGTGACCCGCCAACTTGGCCAATCGCCAGAAAATCGTCGCGGGGAAGATAGTGTGAACTGAAGGGGCGGTGGTTTAAGGGAATAAACGGGTCCACAAAGCTTACTGTGAACTCGCAAGTAGGATAGTAAACCCCTTAAGTCTACTCACCAATTAATAATACTAATAATTTACTATTGAAATAACTTCTGGCGAGAGAGCTTATTATTTGCAGTGAGAATAAAACACCAATTACTAATCATTTGTAAATCACAAATTTTTTTTCAATTGTCCCAATAGAATTCAGATAACTTGTGGCGAGAATGCTTATTATTTCTTATTTAGTATCCACAAAAGTAAATAATCTAGAGGATCAAAAACACAGAAGCTCCTAAATCTAATGGAGGAAATACAAATCACAAGGTTGGATGATGATCCTTTAATTTTAAGACACACACAAAGTACAACATGGAATGATGAACTACGAATCACTAGTTGTTGGATTTGGGCCTCTTGATAATCAAGATTGGACACTTCACATTCTGAGCACAATGGTTGCTCACACTCCCAAGAAACGCCCTGTTGTTGCCATTAGGAAAAATTAAGGATTAGCAGATAATCAACGATTAGCATACTAACCACTATAAGCGATTAACTCCTTAGATGAAGCTTAGATTATTACCTCTTGATGGGGCCGTAGCCATGGCTGCCCATCACAAGAACATCAACACCTAGCTTTTCAGCAACCTGACAAATCACATCCCTCGCGTCCCCATTCTCTATCATCGTCTCCACCTTAACTTGGTAATCACCATTATCATTGTCGCCAGCTGCTTGTTTGCAGACCCTTTTGGCCTTTACCATAACGCACTCCGCGACGTCGTTTCTGTACTTGTCCATTGCCGCCATCACATCCGCCGAAAACACATGCCCTGCATCCCCCCGCCGAAAAACAGAGGATAGGGTCAGAAAAACAGGGGAAAGAGAAGAAGGGAAAAGATTGGAACTTTCAATCACTAACCGTCGGGAGAGAAATAGAGGGGCGGCGGAGGCTTGACGTAGACAAGGACGAGAGTAGAGCGGTGGTGGTGGCCGGAGGAAGACGCTGGCAGGATTTTGTTGACGAACCATGACAGGGCGTGGATGCTCTCTTCGCTCTCGTCCACTGCCGCCAGGAATATCTTCTTGTGCTCCTGCGGTGGCGACGAGGCTGTTGTTTCCGGTGCCGACATTGGGTTTTTGGGATGACGATTATGAACGAAACTGGATAAAGTCAGATTCTTTTCTTTTTGGGTAACGATGCGCTAGCAAGAAGAAGTGTTTGAGTTGAGTGTGTTAAAAAGGAAATTCTAAGGGGCAGACAAGTTGGATTGACTACTTCTGTTGGCGAGTTGGATGGTTTTGATGACTGGTTTTGGTTTTAAAAGAAACGGACTTTCAAAGTCGGTTCTGTTGGCGGTTTGATGGGTTTAGCGGTGGGTGGGTGGGGTTTCGGAGAATCCGCTGTCAAGTGACGAGTGAAAATACTAGCCAGAGTCCGTTGGCCCATAACAAAGGCTCGTAAAGGCCCATTCATTTGCTACGCTATTGAGCTCTAGACATAACCAGCTGTGAGATTCGCGGCCCTAGTGGCACCAAATTTGGTTTTATGATTAGGGTTGCAACGGTTCGGCGTTCGATTTGGAAAAAACTCGTACGAAACTCGGCTCGTTTATTAATGATCCGAACTTGAGCTTGACCTTCTGTAGCTCGCTGAGCTCTCGAGCTAGATCGACTCGGTGTCTTGTTGAGCTCAACTCAATGAGTTGGCTCGTTTAGAGCTCATGAGATGTCTCAACTCTCTCAACATTGTGGCTAGAGAGCCAAATCGACTATCGAGTTATGAGCTAATCAATCTATATGAGTTTGTTTTTGATAATTTATAAGATTGTTAAATTGCACATCTCACCCTATATGAAGTTTAACGCGTAGATTATGTGAACAAATATGTCTTATTTAATGAGCACTTCTACTATGCTATATAATATTGGTGCTTTAATGTACAACTTAAAGTTGTACCATAACATTAAATGTATAAGTTTAGGTTGTACCATAAAGCAATTTGTACCATTATGTTATGATACAATTTTACAACTTGAAGTTGTACCATCACATAAAAGTACAAGTTCAAGTTGTACCGTAAAAGAATTTGTACAAAAAGTATAGGGTAAATACAATTTAATATCCAAACCTTTTATTTTAAATAATATAATAGCCAAACTTTTTCGTAAACAATCTAATATCCAAATCGTCAACTTTCTGTCTGTTTGACCGTTAGTTGACACTTCAAAAAAGTTCGAAGTATGACACTTCTTCAATATCCATCGATATCTTCTCTGAAAAACCACCAACATATCGTAGTTCCAAACCCGAGAAGTCCATGACTCCACCATGATGGTATATAATATCTAAATATTCAGTCATCTGCAATGCCAAAACAAGAAACCAAGTTGTGTTGTGACAATTTCCCCTAAACAAAGCTTTTTTGAAGTGTCAACTAACGGTCAAACGAACGGAAAGTTGACGATTTGGATATTAGATTGTTTTCGAAAAGGTTTGTCTATTATATTGTTTAAAATGAAAGGTTTGGATATTAAATTGTATTTACCCAAAAGTATAGGTACAATTTTAAGTTGTACCGTAACGTAAATGTACAATTTTAAGTTGTACCATAAAAGCAAAACCCTATAGCACCAATACTATATAGCATTGTAAAATTTCTCCTTATTTAATTTTAAAAAGAAATTATGTATCGATGATTGCTGCGATACTATGAAATAACATAATTTTCAGTAGTTAAAATTTATTAACTAAATAATTTGATACCACAAAGTATAACATGTGATTAGTTAATACTGAAAAATTTAACTATTATTTTTTTATCTTGACATTAATCACATGTATCATGTATGACATTCAAAATGAATATATATTAAATATGAGTCAAGATTTTATTAATCAAACTAGCTCGAACTTAACTCGACTCGTTAATAAACGAACCGAAGTCAAACTGCGATAAAACTCGGCTCGACTCGGCTCATTTGCAGCATTATTTCTGATCAATAAGTTGTGTTAGTTAACTCATGCCTAAACGCTTCTTCTCTCTAACTTTTCAAACGCTTCATCTTCTCTCTAACTTCCCTCTTCCATTTGCTAGTAGGGGCCGCCGGCTCACCTCAAGGTGACCGGCGGCAACCATTGTTCCTTATTTTTGTGCTTTTTTTTATGTCCAATGCTAATTTATGATTCTCCATTTGCTTTTCGCCAATCCCTTGTGGATTCTTTCCATGCTCTGGTCTGTTTTTTCAGATCTGGAGACTTTTTGTCTCGGAGTACAAAGGAGTTGTTGTCTTGTATAGCTTCAACTGTTCTTCATTTATCCATCCCTCCTGTCTACCTCCTTGTTTCTTGCAATAGATCGTGAGATCCGGAGATGTTGTAGTCGTTTCTTGTTTCGGCTCAGACTCGGTGTGGATTCTTGAAGACGGAGAAGCCTTGCTCGTGATTGTTGTTGATTGTCGGTTGATTGAATGCAACTGACTCTGACTATGCATCACAACATCATGTTTGGTCTCAACTCCTAGAAAGTTTAGTGCAAATACGGGTATGGAGTACTCCCCCTCTTTTGAGAGTGATCAGTTCTCAAGAGTGAAAGTAACATACCTATAATGCAGAAAACAAACCGGGCTCTGATACCACTGGTAACACCCCACCCTAAAATCATGGGTCGAACCAATGGTTCAACCGCGCAGCGGAAATCACTTGGGGTTTACGTTTTCAAAATATCGACTCAACTCACATCCACATCATTATCATATTGTTTAACAATTAAACTCATCATAACAATTTACTAAAAATCGTTTTCTCAATTCATTAATCAATCTTCCTCAAAATTAGGATTCACATAACCCAGACTATCAATCTCATTTACTCCATTCATACTCAACTCAAGTTAATGATCATACTTGACAATTGTAAACTATCATGCACGCTCAAAACCCGAATCGTGAAATAAGGATTCTAGAACGCATCAATAGGTGAAAAACCTTTTAAATCAGAACTCCTCCATCGATCATTGTGCAGTGCCAGAGTCATCCTCAATTTATCACACCTGTCACATCTAGAAAGAAAAATGGGTCAACTAATAAGCTGAGTGTGTGGACCTGGCCTATACGGCAAAAATATTGTTAGCATGCCTTCACATCATCACATCTTGTTGATTAAAAACACATCATCAACAAATTATCATGCCACACGAAAATCTCATTAATCTCTAGATTTATTTCTAGGTCATCAATCCAAATTCATCTTTAACCCAATTCCTCATGGTATGACTTTCATTAAACAAGTCGTATATCGACATAAAATAGTAAACTTACCTCAACTCATGAATCCATCATATCAATCCTTCATTCAAAGTCAACTCATCATTTAAGCATCAAGCATGTCAATCATTCGTCCATAATCAAATCACCATTTCGGCGCAACCATATCAATCTCTCAATCAATCATCAATCAAATATCACTTTACGATTTCCTTCATGGAAATCATCACCATCATATATATCATATGCAATGTATGAAATGCAGACTCTCCATTTATTATTAATTTGCGCGCTAAGGTCACCATACGCCCACCCCGCTCGAGCTCATCATCTTAGTGGTTATATCAAAAACCACAATCTCATCCAATCTAGGATTACCATAAATCCTTTCATTAGGACCGCAACCCAATCAATCTCATAGGGGTAGGCATAGGCCCTTCTATGTCTATGTGATTTAACATGATCAAACAATATCAATTTCTCTCTTCCATCATATCTCAGTCGATCCAAGAAATGAACAGCGTCCCATTGATATTCCCAGTCCATGCATATCTCACATCATCTATGCATACTTTGATGCATTGCATGATCTCAATATAATCATCATCTTCTCAATGATATAAATAATTCATTCTCTTCAATCAAACGTGACAAATCTACCAAGTACTCAATTTATCAATACCTCATTCACTCATCGTAATCATTTCACACATCAAATACAAATCGACCATGATAATATTTCATCCGCATCATCATTAATCAAAGCATTCATCATATCAACATTGTCACAAAATATCCCAGTAATATTTATAATTACCAATCACATTTATACCAATCGATATTCTAATCACGTCATAATCATACACGTCCATAGTATCACTAGCAATCAATATCCCTATCATCGTCATCATCCTCATATCACAACCATACATATCAATGAACAATATATATTTCATTCATCATAAATCATTTTATCATACGAACCATATAATCTAAAATACATCGGTTTATCCATATCATCCATTAATTAATTATATCAAAATAGCAACTAAATATATTATGATCAAAATCTTGTTTTCATGAATTTCTATTAATAACTTGGAACCATTCTAAGGACCATACCCACATATATAATTCTCATGATTATCAAAAGTTCATTTGAAAAGGTCTCCCCTAATAACACATATCTCAATAATTATTTCTTAAAGTACAAACTAAATCATAGTTCGTCATGTTTAATTCATTAATAAGACTATCTTCAATATTTCAATTAAATACTCAATTAACCATTTCTCAAAATTAATCTTAAACCGTAAATCAATTTAATCCAAGATAAAATTACTCATGGTAATCACTTTGAACTCACACTCTAGTTTAAATAATTTTCTCTTAATCACCACTATTCTGAAAATCATAATACGTTCTCTTTAATAATGAAACCACGTAGAAACCGATTTCATCCATCCAAAAATCCAACAAAGTTCATAAATTCTTTATTTTAATTATTCTAACCAGAATTCACTTCTCATATACTCATCCAATTTATTAATTCCCAATTTCACCCTTTTAACGTCATAAGTTCAATTAATTCCGAAAAGTCAATTATTATCAATATAATCATCATCATGGTAATATATCATGACTATTGTCGTCTCAAGATTCCTTAAATTTCATTTCCTTATTCTGATCTCAATAGACATTTTCAGAAAATATTCAGAGTTCACCATATACATCAACAATTCCAATACGAGATTAATAATAATTATTATCATAAAAATCAATTAACTTCAGCAATAATTTCATCCAAGATCACAATCATGAACCCATCACAAATCCATCATAATCATTAATCATCAAATCAATCATGCGTATTTAGAAATAAACACGTAATTCCGGTTCCCTTTTACCGTAAGCCCACACACCTTATTTATGACGAAATCCGATTCTGTGAAAGCTC